AACTCCTGAGCTCAGAACGATCCGCCCGCCTCGGCCTCCCAGAGTGCTAGGATTACAGGCGTGAGCCACCGCGCCCGGCCCAGAATCTTTAATTATACAAAAAAAATTTTCCTAAAAATTGCACAGTCCATCAGGGATTAAAATGTTGGTTGTTTAACACGGAAAGTTTAAATCCTTGTTAAAATGTAGAAATATTCATTTCAAGTCATCTTTTGTGCTGCCTTATTCTAGAATGCTGCCCTCATGGTTCCATGAATTTCACAAAGGCTCTTGTCTAGGAATGGGATTCCAGTCAGTACTCATGCCAGTCACTAGAAGTCAGTACACATTTAAATAAAAACTGAACATTGTTCATTATGAACCATGTGAAATAGTAAATCAGGCAAAATTCCCCCAAGGAAAAACTACCATGGAGAAACAAGGAATACCTGTGTAGAAATCAGAAAACAGGGGCCTCGTCTAAACTCTGTCCCTAACTAGCTTTGTGACTGTGGACAGGCCCGGCCTTTCCCTGCCTTGGTGTCCTCCAAACAAAATTAAGAAAAAAGAACGGTACCTGTTATAAATTCACCTACTTGATGGTACCACCCAATAACTGCAATTAAGCTTCAGTTACAGAGAAACTGGGTAGGGGTAGCTCAACTAAGTCTGGAAGTTAAACTGGGATATTTATTTCCTACAGTCCAACTAGTAGTCTAATCAGTAAAGCTGTTAAAACTTGCAATAATATTTCACTGATGTGTACCAGAGCGTTGCAAGTTATAAAATTTCCAATTTAATTTTACTGCATCCCTGAAGCCGTAGTAATTAGAAGACAAACTCACAGGGAAGATGTTTACAGCTTCAGGGGTGATAATTTTGAACCTGTGCTGCAGGTCACTTCTGTCCTCAAGGTTCCCTGATTTGACAGCTGCTTGTAGACTTAGGATTTTACTGTAATATAGCATTAACTCGTCATTCATATGATGGGAGCAGATGTAGATGACGTTCACATTGGCATCTAAAAACAACAGGCACAATGTTAATTACTGGTATAAAGGTAAATGACATTATGAACTCTGGCATCTGATTGATGTTGTGCAGTTTAAAATAAAGAGCAGATCAAAGCCACATTGAAATTAATTTAGATTGGTTTTGTTTGTACAATCTTAATTTTAGCAATATGACTGACCTTTTTAGTCTTTAGCATTTCTCTAAAGAAAAGATAAATAGCACCATCACCAACAAAATAGATACAACAATTCCTTCAGAAGGAGGGCTGTGAGATACCACTGAAATGGACTTTCAAATAATACATAGGGATTTAGCCACACAACTCCCATTAACATCATTGGGAATTGCATACTGCTTTAAAAATTTATCCCATTAACTTCAGTAAATTATAAAACAGAGCTATTAACTTTAGAAAGCTGATGAAATTGCAATTTCATTTTCTGTCTGGATTTGACTAGGCCAATTCAGGGAATGTCCTGTCCAAATAAATGGTCTGATTATGACCATAGCAATGGTTATTTCAGGAAACCAACCTGTCCTCTGCTCCACTCCCAAAGAGGAGTATATGACTTAAACAGTTCATCTAGTGATTCTTGGTTTAAAGGAAACACTTCCTTAATTTAACTGTTCTCCTTCTTAAGATGTGCATCTTGTATATACATAGAAAGAAATCCTAATTAAGTATTAGATCCAAATGGAATAGTGAGATGAGATTAACCACTCTGTGCTGCACAATATTTTAGGGAGTAGGAATGGGAAATCAGCAGCCAGGAAAGTGATTCATTCATTCACAAAATAGCTGACCGATCTGTAGGGGCAAAGCACTTGGCTAGACACAGAGGGAAATACAGCAGTGATCGTGGGCACAGTGAGGAATGCAGGCCAGGTACTTAAGGAAGCTCAGAGGAGGGAGTACTGTAAACGTTTTCTTGGACAGGCAGGGCCAAGAGGGGATTTTAAGACTCCTCTGCTCAGTTTGGCAGGGTATACAGAGCATAGACTGATTAAATTGTAGTTCAGCTGCCTAGGGCCCTGGGCACATCATTTAACCTTTCTAAGCATTGGTTTCTTCATCAATAAAATGGGGAATAAAACCATTTGGGGCATAGACTTTTTAATATTAAATGGAAAGAATATAGAAAAAAGTACCCAGTGCAGCATCTCGCAGATAGTAAGTGCTCAAGGAATGGCGCAGGTGCATGAATCTGCTCCATGGCCCACCCTGACTGGGCAGCCAACGGTGATTCCCACCCTGGCCCCCACGCTTGTGCTCCTTTTGATCAGTGCCTCAGGACTGAACACAAGGAAGTAGTGCACTCTGCTGTTCCATCCTGTTGTTTCGAATCTATTAATCTTGTCTTGCTAAGCTCCTTAAAGGCAATATTTATAGTCTTTCCTATATTCCCCAAAGCTCTGGTACTATGTGGAGTACTAGGAGCCACTAAGTAAACACCCGTGGGCTGACCAAAGGGATGTGGGGAATGGAGAGGTTCAGCAAGTGGAAAGTCTTACACACTTAGGCCCACGGCATGCAGGAGAAATCTCCTCCTCCTGAGCTCTGGAGGTGATGTTTTCTACACTAGCCAGTGCTAAGCTCAGAGTAGGTGCTCCATACATGTGACCATTTAAGTGGCTCCCATTTGATTGTGAAATTGCCACATAAGCCTCAAAATAAATTAACTGAGGAGAAAGTAATTAAACAACTTGCATCCAATTGCTGAATGGTCAAATTGTAATAGTTAACCCAAGTCTTGATTTGACGAAGAGACTATTGTCTGACCTAACTATTAGTAGTGGTTTTAAAAACCAAACTAGAGGGGTTTTTTTTAAGTATAAAAGAATAGGAGCACAAAAACAAACAACAAAAATAACTTACAGACTCTGTAGTGGAAGAAAAATTTTTTCTTGGGAAGAAATTTCTAGGTTACAAACAATAACAAATCATATTGCTGGCTTCACCTTTCCTGTTCATTTCTGGCAAAGGAATACATATCACTAACTCTAATATCCAGTATTAGCGTAGTTTCACCATGAATCTACAAATGTTCAA